AGGCACAGCCGAAGAGTCACGCGGTGCGGTACATATCCAGGCAGAGCCAGAGGCTCCGCCTCATTTGCTGGGCGCACAAGTTTGGAGCACGGCATTTGGAGCAGCGGCTGGGAGCAGCGCTGGAGAACTGCGCTAGCAAGCAGCAAGCCGCGCTTGGCTAGGGAAGGAGAAGGACAGCGGAGGAGGAGGAAGAAGAAGAAGGAGGAAGAAGAAGAAGAAGAAGGAGGAAGAAGAAGAAGAAGGAGGAAGAAGAAGAAGAAGAAGAAGGAGGAAGAAGAAGAAGAAGGAGGAAGAAGAAGAAGAAGGAGGAAGAAGAAGGGGGGAAAGAGAAGGAGCCGAGGTACTTACCGGCTATGGTGGCAGCCATCTCCTACACCTTGGAGCAGCAGTAAGAAGGCCCTCCGAGGGAGGGAGCTACTCCAAGCATCTCCGAAGCATCTTGGGGCATGTCGGCACTTAGGGGGACAGCCATAACTCATTTGGGAAGTCCTTTGGGCATCGTGGTTGTACTCTGCAGTCCGCCATAGCCTCGGCCTAGGAAGGAGAGGCGGCTATGGCTATGGTGGACCTCGTAGTTGTCCAGCTGTAGAAGAGAGACTTGGGCAGTGATACTGGACCTTCATTCCAACATTGTTGTATTATTTATTGTTTGAGATAAGATGCAAGGGAGTTGAGCGAAGAAGAAGAGCTTTGACATTGGTTCTTGCTGGTGTACATTGTCTTTTCCAATCTTTTCTACTTCTTCTTCTTCTTCTTATCCTCTCCATCCTCTCAAGTTCATTCATTTCCTTTTGCAGTTGGTGAACATTGTGCTGATTGGTGAATTTGTACTTCGCAATTGGTCCGGGTCATAACACAAAACTTCTTTCGATGTTTTTCTTGATCCAGCGATTCTAGAGCTCGAAAGTAGTTATCGATGAACCAGCATGGGAGGATGGAAGACAATTGACGACAATGTTTGTGACTCGTCACGTTTAGCGAATTTAACGATTTTATCCACAAACACAATTGCATAAAACTTTAAGAAATATTAAAACTTGCATTGAGTTTACTAAATTTACTAAATTACTACTTTTAAGTTTTAATTGACCATGTCGCATTTGAGGGAATCGCACTCCTTTCCCTTCTAAGGACACGCATGAAATTGAGATGACGCCGAGACAATCAGAATCACCCTGCCCCTGTGCGCCTGCGCTTCTATCTTTTCTCTCCTTTCTGTGCAGGGAACGGTGGATTAAACTGCTGAATCCGTCGGGAGTAGGTGACCCTCGCACCACTCACCTCCCTCCATCCCGTGTTCGATGACTCCCTTTGCCTTTTCGTCATACTGAAGGTATCTGTTCTGGGGTGCTCTGCCGGCGCTCTGTTGCCTTGTCGGGTGAGGTCTCTCTCCAAGGGGCCTTCCCGAGGTCGCACTGACTGGTCATTCTACGGAGCCTATGCGGCCCCACTATCTCCCTCTCCCCCATCGGTTCTTTCTCTCTCCTCGGCTTGGCTTGCAGTGATGCTTCTCCTCAATCAGAGCCTGCTCGTTAGGAGTGCCTGCAACATTAATGAAGGACGTAGAGGTCCCCCTCCCGGGACCAGCCTCGGCCTATCTGGTCCAGTCCTAGACCGCCGGTCTTTTCGTGGACTGGTAGGCCCGGCGCCCAGGTTTGTCCTCTAGCTGCGCGGGTATATGTCTGTTTCCTTGGTTCGTCCTTCATTCATTCGGTTTCACGACCGTTCCTGGTTTTAATGCAGTTGGACACACACGTGTCCTCATGTGTGTCCAACTGCATGTGTGTGTGTGTGTGGCCAGCAATAGTTCCTTTCCAGTTTCTTCCTCCCTCTTCCACCCTACTCCTCAGCACATGCGCACACAGCCTCCCGTACTGTGCGCCTGTTACAGGGGGGCCTGTTGTCGTCAGGATGACCGTGTGTCTATCTATGTTCAGTGGCGATGACAGACATTCGTCGAAGTAACCGCCTGACTCTGATGATGGCATGAACCTACACTCTGTACAGTTCTACCTGCGGTGTGAGTAGGTAACGATGGTCCATGGTGTATGAAGTATGGGCTTGTTCATGCGGCCATGCTGCCCGGCTGTCTGCGCGCTTGTCTGCCCACTTGTCTGCCCGCTTGCCTCTCTTGCCCTGCCACTCGCCTGCGCGCTTACTTGCTTGGTTGCCATCCTTCCCGCCATGTTGCCTGCTTTGCTGCCTGGTTGCCCCCTCACGTGACCATTTACCTGCCTGTTGTTGCTTTGCTTCCTCTTCTTTTGCCTGCTTGCCTGCCTGCCCGTCTGCTTTCTTGCTGCCTGCTGTGCCTTGCTGCTTGTGTTGTCTCATGCCTGCCTGTCCGGTCACAACAGGGATTCAAGTGGACTATGACTCAGAGCATTAATATATCAATTCTGCGGACTGTCGAGGTTTCGCCCTCCTGATGAGGCCGTGACCGTCCAATAAAACAGTGTGTCATGAACTCCTTGAGTGAAGTTGTGTCCGTTCGTTTTTGTTGTCCTTGTAACGCATGTTGTCCATATGATGCCAGTAGTCTTTGTTAAGCATCCATGATTGAAGACACTCGGGTCTTATGTTCAATAGACCACTGGAATGGATCCCCGGAAGTTTGTGTCCAATCTCTAACTTGAGGCAAAGCATGCCTCGGTGCGAATCTTTGTCCCTGAGGATTTGGTATCACCTCTCTCTCTCTCTCTCTCTCTCTCTCCTGTCTCTTATACACATCTAGATGTGTATAAGAGACAGGTGGGGAGACGAGGGGTGATGACGAGAGGAGAGAGAAC